ACATCCAGGCCATCAATTCATCAAGACAGCAGTTGTTACGATGTGATGTGATGTGATTTGACCCCTAGTTTTGTCTGACCAGGATCACCATCATAACATCCACTATACTAAGTCCAGACTGAAACTAACTATTTGATGGATTGCTATGAAACTTTGTACAGACATTTATTTTGTCCAGAGGATCAGTCTTTATAACTTCGGCGATCCCCTGACCTTTTTCTCTAGTTTGACATTTGTGTTTTTTAGTGAAATATAAAACAATTGAAACAACTATTGCATGGTGCACATACACACACACACACACACACACACACACACGTCCCCCTCAGGATGAATTCTAAGACCTTTGGTGATCGACCGTCTGGCTTCGTATATCTGGTGCAAGGCTGGGTGTTATGGAGAAAAAATTAAAATATAACAATATTTTTGACCATTCATTCATTCATTCATTTTCCATAACCGCTTATCCTGTCAAGGGTCACGGGGGCTGGAGCCTATCCCAGCTGACATTAGGAGAAAGGCAGGGTTCACCCTGGACAGGTCGCCAGACTATCACAGGGCTGACACATAGAGACAGTCAACCATTCACGCTCACATTCACACCTACGGTCAATTTAGAGTCACCAGTTAACCTGCATGTCTTTGGACTGTGGGAGGAAGCCCAACTCACGCTGACATGGTGAGAACATGCAGACTCTACACAGAAGGGCTCCTCCACCCTGGGTTCAAACCAGGAACCCTCTTGCTGTGAGGCAACCGTCTAACCTGATGACCAGATACATCGATATCAATATTGCAAGGGTGACTTTGGGTGCTTTAAGTAAATATTTATACAGTGAGAGTTTTAATAATTAATCATCAGTAATGTGAATATGAAGACAAAGTGGGTACAGGTAAATGAAAGAACAGCTACAACAGTTTGGTAAGTTCAGACAATTGCATCACTTTACTGCAGTGCAGCTTTTAAAACCAGTAAAATACAACTCTTGTGATATGACAATATACAAAATCTAAGATGACATGACTCTTGTACTGCATCATGATATTGATATAATAATATACTGCCCAGCCTTTATCTTGTGTCATTATCAGATTAATCTTAAATCAAGATTTTAGATAATTGAACTTGTTTTTAGGATAAACAACTCAACACACTGCACCAAAAACAGGAGTTATATCTCATTTTGCCTTTGATACCAGACAAGTTTTGACATTTTGTGCACTTAGGACAACAAAGGCATCTAATGCAAAGATGAATGCAGGCTTTTATTTTGAGTCAGCAGGATTTTTATGATGGAGTTTCACCTCAGTCAATCCCACCTGCTGTTTTTCTTTCCGCCGCGGATCGATTTTTTTAGACCATAGAGGTCTAAAGGCTGTCTTTCCTGCTCTTTCTCACACGTTTTCTTTTTTCTCTTTCTCATCTCTGCTGCTTCACTTCTCCACGTCGTGCTTTACCCTTGACTCTCACTGTCCTCTTTATGCTCTGTCACATTTCTAAACCTCTCTCTTCTCTCTCACTTTGAATTTTTTGCTCTAACAAGTCATTAATCTTTAATGGGAACACTGGGTTGGTAGTTACGGGGAACAGAGAGGATAACAATTACCTGGATTTGTAGAAACAAAGATATGCAGAGGCATGAACAAAATGAGACTAGCATCCATTAATATGATACCTCTCTAACCACAGCTAGACGGGGCTTCACACATCATTAAAAAGCATAAAAACAACACCAACATATGGAAATATAACATTTAATAAGGATGTAGCAGGGCTCAGGATTAGTATCAGAAGCAGCATAATTCACTAATAACTTAAACTATTAACTACTGTAGATGTCAGTTGTATTTAGCAAGTGGTGTCACCTCAATAGACAGAGCCCACCTCTGTCTACTGATTTTTCATTAAATGAGGCCCACAACACCTCTAGAGAGGGATTAAAAATAAGTTCTTTGCCCAATCCCACGCAAGCTTGCAGATATTGCCGTGCATTCCTGATAAGTCTGCAATGGCTCAGAGCTGTCCCATTATGAAATCTGCAAGTGTGTGAGGGCTTTCTTGTGGACTTTGAAAGCCCCCTGTGCACACATTCAGCAAGTCCGCACTCATGCAGACTTTGCTTGAGTAACGCACAACTTATAGAAGTCTTGCAACATTAAAACAGGGACGAGGTGAAGGCTGTGAGCAAGTCGCAAGCAAACACTGTGTATTGAGTATCTTAATGGAACGCTGGGCCGCGAACATGCACCAGGCGGGACCAGAAAACATTTCGTGCTGAAAAGAAGTTATTACTAAAATAAAATCCTTAATATAGCTATTCTCTGTGCCTGTAAGGTCCAGGATGGGTGGGGTGGGAGGGACCCAAAAGGAGGGTTATGGGCAGCCTGGTCTTGCAGAAATATGTGAAATGACCATGACCACTTAATACTGCATTACGTGGTGGTGCCACATAATTTGTTAAAATTAAAATGTAAGGTGAGGTGAGACAAGACTTTCACCGAAGAGACTGCTGTTTGTGTATCATGTGAAACCAAAAGTCAACGCTGAGGTTTCTTAGCTTCACCTACTTACATACTTTGCATAACAGTGATATGGTATGACGTACTTACATCCTGTACTGAACTTAATCAAGTATTTTGTTTCCTAAGATGGAAAGATAGAGCATGAACACTAGTTAATGCTCCTACAAATGTGTTCTTGAAACCATTGAGGTGACGTTTCAAGCATTCATCAAATGGTCAAATGTCACCTTGCTGGTAACTAAAAAACAATAATAGGAGCATCAAATAGTGTGCAGACTCTATCTTGCCATCTTCTACATGCTCTTCTGTCCAGCTCCTCATATTTGTCACCTCGATATGCATGTTTTTGTAAACCTTTTTCTCCCTAAACCTAACCAAACTGTGACTGTTTCACCAACTCAGTCTCACTACCAACTTGTCAAATACTGAAACCGAGTAAGTTACAGACAAAGCGAGGCACCCTGTAACAGTGGTATGAGATGGACTAGGAAGTGGCATTTTTTGGCGTTCTGAGCAACTGTTGTAGTATGAAGAGTAGGAAAGTCTGCACAGGGCAAGTGGGAGGGAAGGTGGATTGGTCAAAAAACTCCAGACTGGGGTGTCTGGTGGCTTACTGGGTAGAGTAGGTGTCCCATATGCGAAGGCAGTGTCCTTGTTGTAGTGGCCGAGGGTTGAATTACAGTCTGCATCTCTTTGCTGCGTGTCATCCCTTCTTCACCCCTAGACTGTCCAAGGCAAAAAACCCCCAAAAATTATCTTAAAACAAAACAAGAACTCTGGACTTTCACCTATGAGACCGCCGTTTGTGTCCCATGTTCCATTATAGTGTGTAGCATACTATGCTAGTGATGTGTCACGTGATATTACATTAAAATTAGTAACAAACTAACTTATTTTCAGTCAAACCATGATGTTTGTTCTAAACCTAACTTCATGCTTTTGTTTCCTAAATTTGAGGAAATAAATCTAAAAGTGGAGGTGTTTTTTATCTAAGTTTGTTTTAAAAAGAGAGTGTGTGTGATAAATGAGCGGAAATTGTACATTTCCTGTGAAAACAGAAGTTTATTTTGAAAAAACACCATGCATGTGACAAGCGTAAATTGACACATAGTCCATGGGTGTCCAAAACTGACACTGGAGGGTACCTAGAGTGTAATGGTTTGACATGTAGGGCCACAGACCCACTGCCAGTACTTGACGAGTTGTTGAATATGTTTCACAACATTAGCCACATGTTAAAAACTGCAACCATTCATAACTGACTTTAAATATGTTTTGTTTTTGGGTACCGGCACATAATTTTAACACATTACATGACACAACCACATTATGCTCTGCTAAGAAGATTTTAAAAAATATGATGATGATTTTTGTAAATGTCTTAAAAGGGTACCCCAGCAATATACTGTAGTATTGTGCTCGCATAAAGATGGGGACACACAAGACACAGAATTAAAAAAACAAGAAAACAACAGTCCAAATCAAAGCAGCGCAGCTTGAGATATCCTGACTCTTAGTTCTTAGTATATTTGAAGCTAGACTATATCCTAGGCTTCCCATAATGCAACCTGACAGTGTCTTCCATCAGACTCAATCCAGTGATGTCCCCTAAAATGACTGAGATTAAGTGGCCTTTTCATTTTTCTCTGAATTTGCACCTTTAATGATGTAAGTGCGAACATGTTGAGTCACATAATGTCGGCTGCTCTGTAACAGGCCCCTGCTGTGCTCTAAGACAAACACTGTAAAATTAGAGAATTCCTGTAGTTCACTGGAACTGGTGGAGGGTTTCATTCCCCGGTCCAGTGGGATTGTTAAATCTAACAAACAAAAGAAAAAGATGTGTGTTACTGGCTGCGGACGTGTCAGAGAATTTTACACTTCGATGTCTGCAATTCATTAGCACTGGACCCTAGAAATAACAAAGCCTACTTTATTCATGTGTTGGGAAAAAAAAACAAAATGCGTGCACTTGCCACACCGTGTGTCCACCTGTATCAATACCTCATGTGAAAAACCTTGATCCTGAAAATAATACTTCCAGGTTAACAAAATAAAGCTCTCTGTGGGCTTTTAGTTCACAGAGAATGATGGTGTGTTTTTAGTTTTGAATTACAGAGCAACTATTATTCTGACCTTGAAAGTCTCTTAGTAGAGCTCGTCTTTGCATGTGCTATACAGCCCTCACCGTAAAGGACTGGATCTCCGTGCAGCAGACCACACACACTCTGCAGCTGACCTCAAAACATTTTTAGAGGTGACTTGTTCTATAGAAAGGAGTGTAGTTATAAATTCACATACTGATCCCTCAGAGGGGGGCTAAAGCTCCCTCAAACACCCTAATATTAAACACGTTCATACCACCTTTCTTATGACTAAAATACTTCAAAAGGAAATATGCTGCAGCACTTATGGTGAAAAGGAAACTGAAGCCATGGCAGAAAAGCCATGTTTTAACAAGTGTTTCTGATTCACAGGAGGCCCTGCTGAAGAAGAAATGAAGACAAGTGATGACCTGCAGATTAAAAACTATGATGAATGGACACATCAGGACACGCAGCCACCTGTAGGTGATCTATTTTGAGGGAATAATTTCTCCTTTTTTTCTACATGCCTACTTCGTGTCTATGCCAGCATGCCTCTATCAGACTGCAAATATGGGAGCAACCTCCAAACGGAGCACACCTTCAGCCTCCACAGTTTGCCCATGGCAGAGAACTATGGGAAAAGAACTGTGAGGACTTTGTTCGATTTCAGCCACGCGAATGTGACTGAAAATCCGGACGTCAAGTGGATTCCTCAGTTGTCACTGACCAACCTGCGGAGCATCTCAAAAGTCAAAGTGGTCAGCTTCCTCATGGGGTTGACTCTGACGTTCATCGTCATGGCCTCCTACATCCTGACGTGGGACAGGAAAGGACTCTTGCTCACCCCCTCGCCCTATCAGCTCAGGCCTGTGGTCGTCCCGACCAGCACAGCAGCAGCAGCAGCAGCAGCAGCTGTAGTTTCCTCTGAAAATAATTTAACAGACATGAAACTTCTGGTGAAGATCATCAGCTCCAAACTGGAATACACACCCAGGAAAGTGCCTGATGAAAAAGATATCGTTGGAACGGACGCTCGTGTAAGTCTGTGAAATATTGTTCTGACTCATTTTTGCTGTACCTGAGTGGGCCAACTAAAACAAAAGGTGTTTTTTCATAGTTACAGGCTGCAATTATGCAATGATTTTGCTCAAAAATATGCTGGCAAATGATAATTTGATCCAAACTAGAAAAAGCTAATGAATGCCCACTGCAAGTGCTTTATTTTTTGTTGACAAAAGTGAATAAGAGCAGACTGGCAAATAACAAACACCTGCATTAAACACGTTTGGTGAAGCCTATAATGACAGTGTTTGCTGAGACTGACAGAGGTGTTGATTCCACCTAGAGCCAAAGTTCGTAGGGCTGTTAGGTTAATATCAGGTTACATGTCTCGCTAAGTGGTGCTCAGGACCTACTGACTGCTGTTACTATGTGATAATGTGCTGTAATTCTCTCGTGTTTTGGCGTATTCTCATCATGCTTTTGTTACCTTACATCATTTTGCTGTGTTATTGGCCGAGGCACAAGCAGCTCTGATGGTAACACTGTAAAGCACATAGAAACACAAGTGAGTCAGAAAGTTGAATACCAATTAGTGTTATGTGTCAGTGTCAGACACGTGAATATCTCACTGAGTTTTCAAATACTGTGGCTGCAAAATCATGCCATGTGGCCCTAAATTATGGATGATTTGATGCTTTTTCATGAGAACTGCTTGCGGACAGTGTAAATGACATGAATTCAAAGTAGCTGCTGTTCTCCATCAAAGTACAATCTACCGTCTTTCAGTATCTTGAAAAGGTTGTTGTAGCACCACAAGCTACAATCTTCACAAGGATGACAAATATTACCTCTGACAGTTTCGCCAAAGAAAAATAAGATATCCATCTCCAACTCATGTTCCACCAAAGGGCTGCAGTATTCCCTGATTTCATTTTGTCCCTCTCTGCAGCTGTTCTCTGTAATTCCCCGCCATTTCCTGTCTGGCATCAAGAGCCCTTGCTGGTATGAGGAGTTCTCCGGTGAACTCGGCACTGATCCCTACAAGAGGAACCTTTTCACTCTGCGCTCAAAGAGCTTCAAGACTATGTGCGACAAACTGAGGACAAACTTTTACGAGCACCTGTACCACAGAGGCGGCAAACTGTTTCGTCTACGCTGCTTGCCGTTCTTCTACATCATCGGCCAGCCGAAGTGTGGCACGACTGACCTATTCCACAGGCTGCTGCTGCACCCGGAGGTCAAGTTCAACACGATGAAGGAGCCACACTGGTGGACCAGGAAACGCTTTGGTGAGTCATCAGGAGATGGATGGATGATGATGCTGGAGGCTAGGTATAACTGAGGATTGAATTCAGATGGTTGCAAATTCACTGATTGAGAATAGAGCTGCAACAATTACTTCAACTATTTTAATAACCAACTAGCTGCTACATTAAAGTAAATTTGGTAATTTTGGTTGGGGACTGGGCGGCATGGTGGTATGGTGGTTAGCACTGTCGCCTTACAGCAAGAGGGTTCCTGGTTCGATCCCGGGAGTTTGCAAGTTCTCCCCATGTCAGCGTGGGTTTTCTCCGGGTACTCCGGCTTCCTCCCATAGTCCAAAGACATGCAGGTTAATTGATTACTTTAAATTGTCCATAGGTGTGAATGTGAGTGTGAATGGTTGTCTGTCTCTACATGTCAGTCCTGCGATAGTCTGGCGATCTGTCCAGGGTGTTCTCTGCCTCTCGCCCAATGCCAGCTGGGAAAGGCTCCAGCCCCCCCACAACCCTCAACAGGATAAGCGGTTAGAAAATGGATGGATGGATGGATTAGGGACTGGAGGCCAGACCAAACAAGGCATTTGTCGATGCCAGCTTGTGCTCTAGGGTATTAAATGTGGACATATTTCACTGTTTTAAGATGATTTATGGGCCAAATGATTCAGTTAGAAAATATGGCAGATTAATGGATGATGAAAATGATCATTAGCTGCCCTACTTTAGAGTAACTGTGATGTAAAGTCTGTTTTTTTATGTGAGAAACTTTTATGAACTTGAGGCTTCATCTTGACTAGGACTCCTCTGGTAGATAGACTATGTATCTTCAAAGAAATCAATCAGATTAATTGATAGTGTTGCTTAAAGTAAACAAAAACCAGTACTGGAGTTCTCAGCGGAAGAACCCATCACCTCCTAACGCACGTCTAAGCTCAGTGAAATCAATTTACTTGCTTCTGATAACATATAAAGAATTAAACAGTTACGACTCCTGACAGTGCTGCAAAGTCTTCCACATCAGCCATCTTTTTCCATCTTCCATTTAAACTTTTCTTCCAGGCTTTGTAAATGTGAAACCACCAAATACAGTGGATCACTGGAACTCACCTTCCACTGATTATATTGTTGTGGCCATATTTCTTTATCCTCTGATTCAGGTTTTGTCAGGTTAGGACACACTTTCATTATACATTTTAGGAAAATTATTAGGGATGCACGATAATATCAGAATCTGCCAAGATGCTTTTTCTTATTTTGCACAATGCATGAATATTGCATAGCCTACATGCTCACTAAAATTAGATGGAGGAAAAAAGGGATATATAAATATTGGTATTGGTTATCAGCCAAATGAGTTGTTATATATCGGCATATCAGATATCCAATATTGTGTATCTTTTTTTTTATTTTTTTGTTTTTTAAACTGTACACAGTTTACACTTCAAACATTAAATTCTGATTTAGAATTAGGGGTGCTGCAATATACCATTATTGATGATAATCATGATATTTTAAAACATGAAATATTGATATTGTGTTAATAATACACACATAACATCATGTAAATATATTATTGCCTCTTAAATCATTTTATGTTATCTCTGTTTTTAGATTTGTCTCCCTTTCCAAACACCTACAGTTGTATTTTAAGTGCAGTTTATTTACCAAAATAGAGACAAAACACACAATAAACAAGGTTTAGTTTAGTTTAGTTTAATTTATTTTGGTCACTTTCCAACTAATAAAACTCAAATATACTGGTAATACATAAACATCAAGTTAATGCTTTTTTAGCATAAGAAGAAACACAAACAAAAAGTAAAGAAAAACAAAACAGAACTGAAAAGGTGTAGGCTGAAGCCTCAGCTTGTTACTTCTACCTTTTAACATTCATTATTTATGTCTGCACCCTTAAGATTGTACAGAGTAATAAGGAACTGACTCACACAAGATACATTTGACTTAAGGCATTTTTAATTTAATTTAATTTAATTTTTTTTATATACTTCATTAATCCCCGAGGGGAAATTCAATTTTTCACTCTGTTTGTCAATTACACACAGGTCCAAACACACACATGCACAAACTGGACCTATACATGCACAAAGTGGAGAGATGTCAGAGTGGGCTGCCCATGACAGGCGCTCCGAGCGGTTGGGGGGTTCAGTGCCTTGCTCAGGGGCACCTCGGCAGTGCCCAAGAGGTGAACTGGCACCTCTCCAGCTACCAGTCCACACTCTTGTCTTGAACAGGCGACCCTCTGGTTCCCAACCCAAGTCCCTATGGACTGAGCTACTGCATGAAGAGCAGCTGTCTACTGGAAAACCGAATTTTCAGCATGTCATGTCTTTCTTAAAATGTTCAGGCAGGACAGCATAAAGGATGTANTTATTTTATTTTTGTATTTATTCTATTTCATCTTATTTTATTATTTTTTTTATTTTTTCAAATTTTCTAAAGATACCATGACCATTTTGTTATTTTGAATTATTTTGGCCACAATAACAGAGTAGTGAAAATCTGACATCCTGCTCACCATGTTTAAAAATTTATGATCAAAATAAAATCAGGAGAACACATATTTCATAACAATAGGTTCTTATTCAACCGCATCTGCATTTCCAAATGCAGAGATAAACTGCCAGCCTGCAGGCAAGAAAACTAACCTACCACCACTGACTATAAGTGAAGACCCTGTGCAGCTGCTTCACAATAAAATGCTGCACTAATTGTCGTCCCTGGAGAGCTTTTACTGTGAGGCGCTTGCAGACAGCGCTGTAAAGCATATGTAAATTGCTTTTTTTTAAAAAAGTATATTGTGTAACTATTCTCTCTCTTTGTTGTTTGTCTGTCTCTATTTGGATATTCTGTATGTTTGTTGTTTTTGCATGTAAGTACTTTACATGAGCAAAAGACTTCTGATTATCCTCCAGTCACTGAGGCTCTTAAATCAACCTGATTCAAAGCTTATACAATCCATTAAATGAGTTTTATGGAGAAGAAATCTATTAAAGTGTACATTATGAGTGATTATTTTGGTGTTCCTCGGGGTGCAGGTTATATCCGTTTCAAAGATGGCTTCCACGAAAGTTTTCCTGTGGAAGATTACTTGGATCTGTTTGACTTGGCAGCTCACAACATCCAAGAAGGATTCAGTGGAAATTCATCTGGAGACCACCGCGCACTCATAACAGGTGAACACATGTGAAAGTGTTTGTGTGTGAGAGTATGGCTTTGGTATTGTTACCATCTATTGTGCATCAGATAGAATAATCTGTCGCCTTCATAGTTTTCGTTTGACGTTTTCCGAGGACCTTTTGAACAGAATTGGATTCAGAGCACGATTCAAATTACAGGTCTCTTTTGTCTCCCTTTTCCTTTATTGTCTGGCTTTGCTGCTCTTTCTGAGTGGATTTCCCACAAGTGGCTGTGACCTCAGGAGCACTGCAGCGGTGCTCACATATTCTAGATATTCTGCGGTCTGGAGGAAACAGCAGAGTGTCTTTAGAAGTATACACAGAATCTCAAACACCTCTGGGTGCTGTCACAACCACCTCTATTCACTCTCCATGCATCTGTGATTATAAATAAATGAGGCCGACTCAAACTTTGGGCTTGGCCCTGAGAGACAGCAGAGAATAAACAATGAGTTACAAAAATTACATTTTCAGAGTGAGGTAGCATTGATCTTTTGAAGGGCAATCCTTAATATTAACATGGTTTTGCAGGTTTTCTGTGATGAATATGTGCTGCTCTCCTCCTCTTTTGGATATTTCTTTCCATTGTTGCTGATAATAAATGACACTGTTCATTTGTTAAACGAAAACGTTGCAGCTGCACTGTCACAAATTCCTTCACACATAGATTTGGAGGACATACTGTTCCCAGATAAGGAAAGCGTTTGCAACATCTCTCGCATATTTCTGCAAAGTTCAGCTCAACTTTTGCCCCATTATGCCTGAGTGTCTGCACTCGTACCCGCTGCATTTTAAATGAACTGTTGTTACCCAAGGTGATGCTCAGACTGTCAATGCCTTGACAGGTGAAGCCAGTGCATCCACTATGTGGGACAACCAAGCCTGGAGCTATCTTCACGGATACGGGGAGGAGACAGAGCCTCCGTTCCTGGCTCAGGACTTCATCCACACAGTCCAGCCCGGTGCCAAAATCATCATCATGCTCAGAGATCCAGTGGAGAGGTACTGTTCGGTTTGGATTCCTTCTAAAAAGGTTTTACGGCTGAGCATATTTATTTTAAATCATAACTCTGATTAATCATCCAGCAAAATGTCCTCTAAAAGATCCAGCTGGCTGACAACGTTTCTTTCTGTTCCCAGACTTTATTCTGACTACCTGTACTTCAAGATGGCCAATAAGTCAGCTGAGGACTTCCATCAGAAGGTCGTAGACTCCGTGCAGCTGTTTCAGTCCTGCCTGTCTGAGAGGTCACTTCGCTCCTGCGCCTACGACACCGGCCTCTCCAACGCCATGCCGGTTAGCTGACATGATTGTCTCACTTTTAACTGTCTTACTAATTACAGCTTGCTCGTATTTGAGACTTTCCACCTGATTCTGTGCAGCAGAGAAAACACAGCCAACTAGCCGCCCAGAGTCACTTCAAACCCTTCAGCATATATCCTATCAGGCAGCGCTCCCCGAGGAGTAAGCTGAGTTATGAGCTCTGTCGGCTGTCACCCGTAATCACAACATGTCGGTGACAGAGCTGTTATCCAGGGAGATTTACTACAGTAAAAGCAGCAATCAGCTCGACCGGAAAGCATTTGGAACAAAAACAGAATCCCAAATCTAACAAAAACACTCAGGAAAACACCATTAGGCTCTTTTTGTTTGTTTACACAGCAAATCTGTTTGTGCCACTCTGCCTGTGACTCACAGCACTGCTATGTTAGGTTCAGCAGGTGGTGCTGCACTGTGGTGCCCTCTAGAGGACTCTGAGGGTCTGTGCATCTGGATTAAATGGGAAAACGTCTCAGTTAATTCTACCATTTGACAAACAGGATGACTTTATTAGTGACTCAGACGTTGACGGCACAATCAATGCAATTACTGCTGCAAGTGTGGATCACAATTAGAAGTATTTTCACCTAAACATCCATGCACATTTAATGATGCTTTTCATACAAAGTCATGAGCCAACACTTTCAGTCTCTACATGTATCAGTTGTTGTGTTGTGGCTGCTTTGACAGCTCATACATCAAAGTATTGATTGCAGAGCTCGTTTACAGCTCAACAGTTTCTGCTGACATTTAACCTGATATGTTCCATCCTGGTAACAGTGTTTGTTCCTCTGATTAAGCTACTTTAAAGTGGAAAAACAGAAAAGAATAGTTGAAGAATTCTTGCTTTATTCTATATTTTTATTATTGTTGGCAAACACCATGGAAGAGAACAACACCAACAGCGCACTTTCAATTTCCCTGCCCTGTCTGTGGCACTCAGCTCAAAGAAAATTCTTTCCACTGCAGATATAAATCTTTGACGATATACTGTGCAGGATTTTCTTAAAAAACAATGTATACTGGCGCCCGGTGACTTAGTGGGTAGAGCAGGCGTTCCATATATGAAGGCAATGTTCTCATCGCAGCAGCCACAGGCTCAACTCTAGCCTGCAGCCCCCTGTCACATGCCATCTCCCCCCTCACACCCAAACTGTCCTATCTAATAAAAGCAAAAAAAAAAAAAAAAAAAATCTTTAAAAAATAAGAACTAATCCCTCTCAATTCATCACTTATGACCCACTAGAAGTTTGTGAATTGAATTGAATCTGAGGAAGAAGTCCCAAAATATGAACACATGCACAAACAGGATCTATATACATGTAACCCTCTTTTCTTGGTTGTTGGTGTTCCCCAGTTCTTCCAGGCTGTGGCTAATAAGCGGGCTGCAACATTTCCTTCTTCCTCTTCGTTTAATTTGTACCACACGGCACAACAGTGCTAACACATCCCAACGTAGGGGTACAGCAACTTTTCTTGACTGTTAAGCACGAGGCACTTGCTCTGTCTTGTGTATCACTAACACCTGTCCCCACAAAACAAGGGCTGGTAGGAACCAATTAGCTCATAATCAAGGGAACACGGTGACTCCACATAGCCCTTTGAAAACCTCAGCACATTGGCTTGGTTTCTTTCAGGAAATTACCAAAAAAAAAAATTGCAAGAAATTAGTAAAAAAAAAAAAGAGAGAGAAAATTAAAAACAAGAAAATTTGTTTAAAAAAAAAAAAGTAAGAAAGAAATTTGGAAAGAGTGCTTAAAAAATAATTCCAATTCTGTACCATAAATTATAAATGTAATAATAATAATTAGAAATATAGGTTACTACACTAGCTTTTTTTGTTTTCCCCCTCATTTTTAAAAAATAATTTCCTTTTTTTATTTATTTATTTTTTTGCAATTTGAGTGACTTTTTTTTTTTTTTTTTTTTTTTTACCAAATTTGCCCTTTTCCCATGTTTGTGATAGAAACTGCACCTATTTGCTCAGGGTTCAAATGTTTGAATATTTGTGAAAGGTGTCTGAAAGCAGCACAAGAAAAGTGACGTCTCTCCAGGTTTCAAAGGGTTAAACACTGTACATGAAAATACAAATGAAACACAACATACAAAGTGCTATAAATGACAATGAAATAAGAATTTACCAGTAACTCAATAATGCTGAATCTATTACTACTTAAATATAAATAATATAAACAATTAATAAATAACAGTAACTGAAGTTATAAAAATAGCCTAAGAATTTAATGCGTGCAGTAATTATTGGTTACACAGGCATTAAATGGAGTGATGTTAGAGTGAGGGGCTGCCCATGGACAGGCACCCAGGGCAGTTTGGGGTTCAGTGTCTTGCTCACGGCATCTTGGCAGTGCCGCCCTGGGGTTGGCTTTTACTTTCATGCTCGCTAGCATTGTATGTATGAACAGTAACCAACAATCCTGCATATTATACCTTAAAAAGTTTATCAGAAATATATACTTTAATTTTTTTTTTCTTAAAGGATATATAATTTACTAAATAAGATGGCCACCGTACATTTTAGCAAACTTTAACAGGAGCAAAAACTGCACTGTTGGTAACTTTGCAAGTATTTACAGCAGCAGAACAATGTATGAGTCAACTCAGAATAAACTACCCATGTGCCAGTGTTCATCATAATGAAGGAACGCATCACCCATTAATTAATGTGTTTTTAATAGTTGTTTGACAGTGATGGAGCTTCATGGCACAGAGGTACAAGCTACAGAGACAATACTACAAATCAGTTTATTGTGCTTCTGTCTTTTTGATGGAATCGTCGACAATTTAAAAAATCACCAGCTTTATTCTTTGAAGTCAATTTCCATGTATTTGCATTATTTTGTCTACCACCTGTAAGTTTGTTGTTAACTCATTCTCACTACAGGACACTTCTTGTTCAACAGTTGACGAAAAGGAACTTATGTTGTCGATGTATTTTGATTTTAACCCTACAGGTGAGGCTTAATTTGGGTATGTACATCGTCTTCCTGCTGGACTGGCTGACAGTTTTCCACAGGGAGCAGATTCTCGTTCTCCGTCTGGAGGACTACGCAGCCAACCTTAAAGTGACCATCAAGAAAGTATTTGATTTCCTGAGTGTAGGTGCGTATCCAAAAAGTGCCTTCATCTTACTTTCTTTTTATTTATGATGCTGTGTCTGCCTCTAGCCTTCACTTCTGTGTTGCTAAGGACTCTGACATCCTCCCTGCAGGTCCTCTGTCGGAGCAGGTGGAGGCAGCACTGACCAAACGGCCCATGTCTAACACCCGGCGGACAGCAGACAGAAACCTGGGTCCTATGCTTCCAGCCACCAGAGACCTCCTCAGGGAATTTCACCAGCCCTTCAATCATAAACTGGCCAGTGTGCTGGACTACAAGGCGTTCCTGTGGAGTAACACTTGAAGGGACACGAGCATGTGGACGGATGTGAATAAACAACCAGAGCAAGAAGCTAAAGCAGGGATCATGCCTGTTGACAGAAACTAATGTACAATGTGGGTGTTGTTTGTGATATTTATTTGCTCTTGAAATAATGTGAGTGACTCATTGAGTCCAGATGATAATAAAATGAGCTGAATTTGTGTTTTAATTTGATGCTTTTACAATGTTGATAATGTAAAACTAATTTAAACTTGTAACATTAGATTTCAGGGGATCTGAGAGAGTCAGCAGTCCTCACATTAAAGAGAAACATATCATCATAGTGATTTTACAGCACTGGTTTGTGCACAAAGTGGGTTATCAAGGAACATTTTGAAAGCCAAGATATTTTAATACCAGCAGCTGAAGCCTCAAATACCTCACTGACCCAATACTGTAGACATGTTCTGGAAATAACCACAAGAGGGAGCTAAAAGACAAATCCTGACTCCAGTAGCAGCCAAACACTCCACAGACCTGCTGTGATATCTCACAGCGTCACATGTAGGATACAATGCAGATCAATACAGCCAGAGTTGTTTAAGGCTCCCTGTACAGAATTATAAATTAAAGGTTCAGTGTGCAGGATTTAGGGGCATCTATTAGCAGAAATGATCGATGGAATTCACAGCTGTTTTTATTAAAAAGAATCATGATTTGTTACCTTACAATGAGCTCGTTTTGTTTACATACAGAACGTGTCCTGTCCCACGGAGTCTACCATGTTGTTTCTACAGTAGCTCAGAGCAGACATTTCAAACACTGACTCTAAATAGCACCATTCATGTTTTCGCATCGGCCACCAGGGGTGTCAAACTCATTTTAGTTCACGCGCCACATACAGTCTGATTTGATCGCAGGTAGGCTGGACCAGTAAAACCATTGCATAATATCCTTTAAATAACAAACACCTCAAAATGTTCTCCCTTTTTTTGTTTAAATAAGTACATCTTAAAAATGCTAATCCATTTACAAAACAGATGACAAACAGCCTGTGATATCTTCAGAAGAATAAATGCACTTTCAACAATATTTTTCAATTGTTCCACATTCAGTCAGTCGACTACTCACTGTCATGTGCATTTCCACTGCTACTCAGTGTTTAACTTGCACCTTAAACCTGGCACCTCCTAGCCTCCACAAGTGCATCACTATTAGGTGTGCAAGGTCATCCGGCCGGCCACATTGGACCCTTTAGTAGGACGGTTCTAGCCCTGAGCAGTATGTTTGACACCCCTGTCCTATATGCTTTGCACACATGAGAAGTTTTAGTTCAACCTCACCGCTAGATGCCATTAAATACACACTGGACCTTTAACAGCCAAAATGCGTACCATCAGGTATATCTTTAGGCTGCTCCATCATCCCAACAATAAAACATAAAAATGTTGTAAACCAAATAAAGTATAACCAAACCAAAAGGATGGAATCGAGGGAAGAGAGGGTTAACAGAAAGGTAGGCAATCAGACCTGATGACCTGACTTCACTGTTCAGACTGAATCAAATTCTGCGGGGTGAACATAATTATTTCTGTGTATAATCAACCCCACATATTTACATATAATAAAACCCCATTGACGAAATATAGAAAATAATCCAATGCAAAAAAAACATCCAACCCAGTAATTTACCTGCATATCCACGTAGGTACACACAAACACCATTATCTTATATCTGATGAAATGTCATAACTGTGCTTAATAAAGTCTCTGGGAGTCTTATTTTGTGTGTGGGAACCTGTTTTTTGAACTGAAACATTTTTTAAGCAAGTAAATTTCAAGCAAAACAAACTTCATCCCCAACCCATAAACTAATTTCTACACATCTCATGATTTTATCACCTCATGTATGATACGATAATGTCATGTGTCAGACTTATTAAGAGCTGTTATGAGGTCATGAAATGCTGCTGCCATGGAAACTTGTTAAATAATTGTTGGTAATTGTTAAATATAGTTGTCAACTCGGCCTCTGGGTCATGACAAAATGGGGACACAAATGCTGGCAAACTGAAATGATTATTGCAATAAAGGAAATTAATTAACAAGTAAATTTGCATGTAAAGTCCCAGTGTGACTAAGGTGGGACAAAAGGAGGTCACAGGTGCAGGAGGGCAGGAGAAGACGCTGTGACCAGGCTTCCTGGGCAGCTGAGGAGCAGTACTGTGATTAAAGTGGAGGAAATAAAAGTATTGTAGCTTCATCTTCTTGCCTGTGATCCGGGCACTCTTTTTCTGTCATTGTGCATCATATAATGAACTGCTTGCTTGTTGTCAGGACTAATTCACTGTCACTGTTTTGTGTGATACTTTACAGTGAACACCTCTCTTCACTCCTGTCACCATTCAGTCCTTATCTGCGCCTCCCTTCATGCGTTGACTACCTATTACATATAATGCCAATCACATTACAGGTGACATTTCCCCCCCCGTCATTGTCAACATGCTCTTTCTGGGGAAAATCAAAGATAAGAGATTGAGGAGGGCTCAGCGCCACAGAATCACTTTGTCCGGCTCTTTGATTATGTGCATTTACAATGTGATTGGTCTCCTGGATGACGACAGAGTTCAGGGAGCTGCAGGGAGCTGAAGAGAGAGGAAAGCAGTCAGGCTCGGCTGATTGCCCTCTTCATGTGATATTGATGGTAATCCTCTCCAGGATTTTCAAAAGGAGGAAGAAACCGATAAGGTTTCTTTTGACATTCCTTCGTTTTGTCAAGGATGCGAGACTTCCTACTGTGCACACGTGGGGTGTGTGAGAGTGTGGATGTACTTCAGGAGCTGGAGTGATTGAGAGTGGAGATTGAGAGTCAACTGAGCGCCTATCATTTCTCTTCACACCCAGTTTCCCAGTTTCAAGTCATCACACCTGAGATCTGACAGATTAAAAAAAAGCATCATTATTATCTACTGTCCACTGAGCGGCTTCACTGCAGCAGTATGGTGGTCAGTGCCTTGCTCAACGGCACATTAAGTCCATCACTAAGAGTAATGTTTGTCTCTCATCACTTCAAAATTTCTTGATGCTCCTTGACAGTTGAGATTCAACAAATTTAGTATCCAAAATAAACACTGCATCGACACAACCCAGTAGAAAATTATGGAAACTTTACATTTGTTGTGGCAGTTCAACTTGGGACCCAAATACAAACACAGGAAACAGGGAGTGGTTAGAGGCAGTTTATCGTAGTTTGAAGATTTGGGGCTGAAGGCTTGAATGAAATGATGGCTGAGGAGGGCAGAGAATGTCTAAGTAGAGCTGGCAGAGGCAGTGGAGACAGAGTAGTCCAAATTCAGAGGCAGAAGACGAGAACAAGGCTGGACGTGGCGGGTTATGGTTGAAGCAGGGTAAGAAAAGAAGGAAAAAAAAACATGACGGAGATGGGTTTTTCTTTTTCAAGGGCGTATACAGAAAATGACACTGTTTCTAATTAAATGAGAGTTCTTCTTTGAACACAGGCATATTTTCAAGGTGGCCCATTCTCCACCCAACACATTGTTGGAGGACCCACTCTCTCTATGGGCCCCCACCTCACAGGTCCCAGTGCAACAATATATTTACGCCCCTGATCAGTGTGCCATAAATACAGTTGTATCCACCGATAAATTGTGTATTTCAATTTCTTCTTTTGACAGTTTCCCAGCCAGTCCGTGTATTTACTGGCTGCTCTGCCCCATGGGACCTGTTATTCCGTTGCAAACCAGTTTTTCCCAAAATGAGAAAAGAGTGAGTCCATGTGCTGAATAATTCTGATGCTGATTCACACATCTAATGGTTTGCCTAAAATATCTTCCTGCTTGGTTTTGTTTGGCTCCTTCGTACGGCTCATCTGTGACGACCTGAGTTAAATTAGGCATGTTGGGGAGGAAAAAGGCAATTGAAGCTTTAGAACATCCTCAGCTTATTGATAAGTGAATCAATGGGGAACACAATGAATAAAAATCATTCACCTGGACCTGGCACCACCAGCTCAAAGCCACTAAAAGAGACAGATGTGTAATGGAATACTGATTTCTGTGTGGAGCTCTAAGCTTCAAACACTTTTTAATTTCTATTTTTTTAATCTGTTACTTTAACTAATTGTCACTTAATTGTGTGAACAACTGTTTTTCAGTCAACTGCTCATTTTAGTTTGGACACTCTATTATTGTTATTATAATTAGCATATAAAGGAACAGTTTTTACATTTTGTGGAAACGTCCTTAAACGTTTTTTGGTTGGAGTTAATGAGTTAATTGAGAAGACTCACACCACTCTCATGTTTGTCCATCAAATAAAATGGAACAAGCAGCAGCTGGTTAGTTTAGGCACACAGAAAGCATTTTAGCAGCTGAAGGCAGCTTTTTGTAAATGTTTTTAGTAAGAATTAAGCTTTTTGCTCCTGTTGCTCCTGGAGAAAAGTGCCCCATGTCATCTCTACATTTTTGCCATTGGCATTTTGCAGGCCTTCTTTGGTGGTCACAACAACAAGTGGTGGTGCTCAGTCACTCAGCAGGACCAATGGACTCCCTGTAGTCAGTATTCATTTTTGTTGTGCTCGGCTGACGACTGACAGCAGGTTTTGAAACTGCCCACAAGTCATCTTAAAATATGCCTGGAAACAGCCATCATGGAGGCAAAGCTCCTGGACCAACTGGTGGTATTCCTGTGATCCACTCTCTTTTTTAGGTTCTCAGTTTACCTGTTCCCAAAAAACTATTTGCTGACAGCCCCTCAGCCTCAGCCAGAGCTACAGCAGGTACCCTCTGCCTCAACATTTTAGGAACTATACTAATTACTGTGAAATAACTAAAATACAGATAATAACAAATGGAAGAATGATTACACAGGATGGTAAGGGTAAGGACATGATGGGTTGGTTGCCAATAAAAAGACGTAGCAAGTGGCATTCAATTTGAAAAAGAAAAGGCAGTGCGATGCCTCGCAATTTGTGTTCAAATTTGTTTGTTAGGATAAGGCCCCTTGGGATATGCCATTTGTTTTCGAGGGGTCCCAACATTTATCACAATCATAGAAAAAAAAAAACAGAGGAATTTATTGCCAGGATAATGAATGTGGCAGTAGGGGACAATCCAGGGGATGGAAGCTGAGGGGAATGGGTTGACAGCAGGGAAGCAAACTAGAGTGGAGGGGTTTGGCTGGTTGGGAGCGTGGCAGATGTACAAACAGGCAGGCAGGTAGGCAGTGATCCTGCTATGACACAGGAAAAACACATGGTAAAAAAGTTGAATTCACAATTCAACAATGACCTGAAGCATGACTATACCACAGTGGTAGACTCAACAGTCTGCGGAGGACTGGAGAGGAGTGCTGCAGCGCTGATTACTGGATGGTTCTCAGGTGAGCAGCAGAGAGCAGGTGAGTTGAATGAATGCAATCAGGAACCCAGGGGAGTGAGGGAGGTGCCACGTTCACGACACAGTACACGATTGAAATAATTCCATTTAAATATAAGCTGAAGCATGTAAATGTGTCTTCTTACATTTAGAGATGGCCATTTGAGTGCACCATGCATTGTACAATGATTATGAGTGAGAAAAGGACATCCAAGGACAAATCTGCAGAGTCTATTAGATATGGTGTTAAGTGGAACAAGATCTGATTTAAATGCTTTCTAATAGACAACATCACAATAGTACTGCAACCTGCAAACCACTGTCTTTCTGATCAGGGCCTCAGGGAGCAGGTGGTAACAGCTGGCAACCAACTGAGTTTACAGGAAGTCAGTGCATGTCCCGGCAAAGAACTAGTTCCAGCACACAACCACCATGAAACCACAACTTTTTACACACAAACAAGATATTACATGTTGATTGTTGAGGTTTGGAGGTGCTGATAGATGGATGTTATTACCTGTGGACAGACCCAGACTAGCTGTGTCCATGTATTTAGCCTTAATGTTAGGCTAAACTGATCAGGTGCTGACTGCCAACACATTCTAACTGCACTGCCTTGTCACAAATCAGCTTTTGCTTATGGACTTTCCACATCCACATACTATGTGCAAGGTACCCTGGGTGCGTCGGGTGTTGACTTTCTGGGACACTATGTCAAGTTCTGCCTGTTACATGCATTGTCTTCTTTCAAAATACACTTCCGTTTTCACAGGAAATTTAACGTCTACATACGCACGACATCATTTTTCCTGTCAACAACATACACACATGGTTGGGTTTAGGCAACAAAAGCACGTGGTTAGCACAGGGTTTGGCTTTAGAATCTTACAGGACGCGAACACCACTCTCTTGTCTGAAGGTCTGTGTTTGTTGGACGCATCCACCACCCCTCCTGCCCGCCCCAGTCGGGTCCATGTCATTGGTCCGACAGCCCATTGGTCCGACATCCCATTAGTCCGACGGTCCGTGGTGCTGAACGGCTCCCGGCAGGCGTATTTCTGCCTTGATGGTGCGCCGCAACCGGCTCTGGGTCAGCTGGGAAAGGCTTGAGGCGAAGCAGGCTCACGGTTTATGTGTTTGTCACTTTCTTTTTCATTTTAACCCACACCATGATCTTTTCCTGACCCTAACCAAGTGGTTTTTGTGCCTAAACCTAACCAGACCTTAACCACAGGGCATCATGATGATTTCGGAACAACGGGACTTCGGAACAATGGGTTTAATATGGTCGGAACAATGTGATGTCGGACCAATGGGCTGTCGGACCAATGGGCAGTTCCCCCCCAGTCGGACTTTTGTCCCTCTGCATTTCCAACCGGCACTGCT